CTGTTGCTGCTGCTGCATTCGCTGCTAATGTTGCTCCTGCTGTTGCTGCTGCTGCTGCTGCAGCAGCTATTAGCTGTGTGCTGCTGCTTGTTTTGCTACAGAGAAGATAGCAGCAGTGAGAATCGAAGACCTTGACTTCAGCGGCTGTAGCTATGATACTCCCATAGCAGTCCTTGTACGTACACCCCACAGTGTCTCCGCAGCTCTTATTGCTGCTGCTGCTGCTGCAGCTGTTGCTGCCGCTGTTGCTGCAGCTGTTGCTGCCGCTGTTGCTGCAGCTGTTGCTGCTGCTGCTGTTGCTAGGGAGCTATTATTGAGGGGATATGTAGTGTGGGGCCGTGTACAGTTGCTGCTATTTGCATGCATGTCTGTTGCTGCTGTTTGCATGCAGCAGCACATGATTCGTTTGCTGCTGTTTGCATGCATGCATGCATATAGTTTGCTGCTGTTTGCATGCAGCAGCAGATATAGTGTTTGCTGCTGTTTGGACGCAGCACATGATTCGTTCGCTGCTGTTTGGATGCATGCATGCATGCAAAGATAGTTATATATTTTGCTGCTGTTTGCATGCAGCAGCACATGATTCGTTTGCTGCTGTTTGGATGGATGCATGCATATAGTTTGCTGCTGTTTGCATGCAGCACATGATTCGTTTGCTGCTGTTTAGATGCATGCATGCATGCATACATGCATGCATATAGTTTGCTGCTGTTTGCATGCATGCAGCACATGATTCGTTTGCTGCTGGATCCAGACCCTGCACGGCGACCGAAGCCTCGCGAGGTGTATGAACGACATCCGGTGTTTACTGTCCCTCCTCATGTTATTTTAAGAGAGACACTAGGATCGCTTGTTTGGAGGTTTAACTCTCAAGGGCTTACACGTCAATAATCTGCTGCTGCTGCTGCTGCTGAGGCAGCTGCGGCAGCTTTGGCTGCTGCTGATGATGCAGCAGGAAGAAAAACGCAGCGAATGCTGCTCCTAAAAGTGGAGAGGCAAATCTGCTGCTGCTGCTGCTGCTGCTGCTGCTGCTGCAGCAGCAGCAGCAAAAGAAGAAGCGCAGCTGCTTTTGTTGTAGCAAGGACTTTCTCAGCGACAGAGAAGGCAGAGGTTGTAGCAATATCAGTAGCAGCAACAAAAGCAGCAGCAGTTGCTGCTGCTGCTGTTGTTACTGCTGTTGTTGCTGTTGTTGCTGCTGTTGCTGTTGCTGCTGTTGTTGCTGCAACTCCTCCTGTCTCTGTTGAAGCAGCAGACACATCAAAGTAAATGGAGACAGATAAGCGGTTTTTATTTGCTTTCTTATTTCAGGGTCTGCTGCTGTGCTGCTGCAGCAGCAGCACAGCAGCAGCAAGCAGCAAATGCTGCAGCAGTTGCCGCAGCAATTGCTGCAGCAATTGCTGCTTCTTTAGCCCAAACAACTTGCTTTGCATCCTTTGCAGGCATTTCAAAGTTTATATCTTCGCTCGTGTGAAACTCTATTAAACTCTGATCTGCCCTGCTGCAGCTGCAGCAGCTGCTGCTGCTGCTACCGGGTTTGCTTTGGCTGCAGCAACTGCTGCTGCTGCAACTGGTACTGAGTTTGTTATCGCTGCAGCAACTGCTGCTGCTGCAACTGCTACTGATTTGATGCTGCTGCTGCAGCAACTGCTACTGATTTGATGCTGCTGCAGCAGCAACTGCTACTGAGTTGCTGCTGCTGCAGCAACTGCTGCTGCAGCAGAAGTACTCCCTAGCAGCAGTTTCACTTGCAGCTTCAGTTTGGTGAAGCATTTGCTGCTGGACTTGCTGCTGCTGTTGCAGCAGGAAGTGCTGCAGCAAACTCGTGCAAAAGCATCAGCAGCAGCAGCAACAGCAGTAGCAGCAAATATAAAGGGCTTCTCTCCTTGGGGTTTGTCTCTTTAATATATTTATTTATTAAAAGTCAGGGCTGAGTATCTGAAAAAGACAGACAAACGACAAAGGAGACAGCAACAAAGGAGACACATCACCGATTAAGTGTCTCCTGCAGCAGCAACGACCGCCTAACAAACCCTAATAAACCCTCATAAACCCTAATAATAAACCCTAAAAACAAACCCTAATAATAAACCCTAAAAACAAACCCTAATAATAAACCCTAATAATAAACCCTAATAATAAACCCTAATAATAAACCCTAATGATAAACCCTAATAATAAACCCTAAAAACAAACCCTAATAATAAACCCTAATAATAAACCCTAATAATAAACCCTAATGATAAACCCTAATGATAAACCCTAATAACAAACCCTAATAATAAACCCTAAAAGTTGAGTTTGAAGAGACAGCTTACGGATGCAGTATTTAGCATCAGCGATGAGGGCTTCGAGCTGAGCGACATCTTTTGGTCTTCTTGCTGCTCTTGCTACAGCAGAGACATTTAGAAGAACACTATTTGTCGGGTGTACATGCAGCTTTGCTGCAGGAAGAGACACATAGCAGCAAAAGGAGACAGCAGCAGCAAAACCGATTACTCAATAAACTAATTCAAACACCACAAGAAATAATAATAACATACATAATAAAATATACTCGGTCTCTTTGTCTCTTTCTTTATTTGCTTCTGTCTCTCTCTGTCTCTGTCTCTCTGTCTCTGTCTCTCTGTCTCTGTCTCTCTGTCTCTGTCTCTCTTTGTCTCTGTCTCTCTGTCTCTGTCTCTTTGTCTTTGTCTCTTTCTTTCTATTTGTCTCCTTTGTCTCTCTTTGTCTCTCTTTGTCTCTGTCTCTGTCTCTGTCTGTCTCTATTTGCTTCTATCTCCTTCTCTGTCTATGTCTCTCTCTCTATTGTTGCATATTTGCTTGTTAGCTACTTAATTAGTTAGTTAGTTAGTTAGTTAGCTAGCTAGCTAGCTAGTTAGTTAGTTAGCTAGCTAGCTAGCTAGCTCGTTAGTTATTCTTACGCATATCCTGATCCATTTGTTTAAGGAGGCCGTCGATAACTTTATTAAAGAGAGACACCTTCAGGAAGAGACACTTTGAGCTGCTAGGGGGGCTCCTGCTGCAGCAGATTTGTTTATAAGCAGCGATGCTGCTGCTCTCAAACTTTTCGCTAGCTAATGCACTTACAGAGTCTAGCACTGAACAAAATAAACAAACAAATAAATAAATAAATAAATAAATAAATATTTAATTAATTAATTAATTAATTAATTAATTAATTAGATAAATAAATAGATATATAAATGTTTAAGTACTTATATATACATCGACATATAAATATATTAGTATATAAATAAATAAATAATTAATTAATTAATTAATTAATTATTTAAACTAAATAAATAAATAAATAAATAAAATAAAATAAACAAATAAATTAAAGTAGTAAATTAATTAATTAACTAATTAAATATATTAATATACAAATAATATTATTGTTGTTTATATACACTTCACTCATTTTGCTTATTATATTTTATATTGTGCATTAATTAATTTATTATTAATATTATTTTTATATTATTATATTAACAACACAATTCTCTAATATATATATATATATATATTATATATACATAGATTTAGATATAGATATACATATACATATATATACATATCTATATATGTATATATATACATATATATAGATATCTATATATATAGCTATCTATATATATAGATATGTTTATATATATAAATAGTCAATAGTCTATATGGATATTACATATATATATACATAAATATGTGTATATATAATTAGTATATATATATATATATATATATATATATATTATATGCAT